GAGTATTTCTAATAATATACTTCCCAATTTTGCTTGCCTTCATCTACACTATCAAACCTTCCCTGAATTTTTTCTTGACTCTTGGAAGCTCGTAAATGCATCTAACAATGTACAAAACCAATGTTATTTGAAAATTCTCCAACAAGGTTTAACTTCTTTTTGTAAAACGAGCCTCTATAAGCAAATGCTTAAAGCTGTTCCATCTAATTTAAAAAGAAATCGCCGGAAAAAATTCTCTGCCATATCATTCTATGGTAATTTCTTCAAGAATTTTAGATAAATTGAAGTACGTAAAATCCTTCAAAGAAAGAGTACAATAACATTAAAGCCCCTTCACATAGCCCATCAAAAGTACAAAAAGCTGAAACAATAATCACACAACCCTACTACATATACAACTAGTTTGACAATTCATAAGTTGACAGACAGTTTGGCCATTGATTTGAATAATGTTATTCAAATCAATGGCCAAGATATTTACACCTTATTGATTGTCAAACTAGTACAAAATCATTGTACAAGTAGATTAATTCAGAAACACAAGTGGTAAACTAATTTTCACAAGTCAGAAATAAAATTACAAAAAGGAGTCCTTCGCTTTAAAATTACAAAAAGGAGTCCGCTTTACTTCAATGTGTATAATTTAATGAGAACCAGGTCATCATATTTTATCTCATAATAGAGTAATCAGCTTATAAACAGCCTAATAAAGTGTCTCCTTCCTTTCCATGGAAAATATTCCTGATCCATAAGTAGAATGCATAACATCAGCCAACAAAGGAAACTGTAAGAATGCAAATAGGGTAACTGGAACACAAGCAGTGAGAGCAATCGGGATAATAATCCAAGCCAGTTGATGTCCAACCACAATGAAAAAGCTAGCACTAAAAGCCATTAGCATTGATGCCATAGAAAAGAAAAGAGTTGTTAGGCCAATAATCAGCCTCTTCGGCAAGGACTCAAGGAAATCCTCTTCAGCGTAACGCGAGGTGAGGATAGATAAGAACATCAATATAGATGTCACAGAGGAGAACAGAGCAAGTGCATCTGCTATGCAGAAAATTATAAATGACTTGTCCTTAAGGAACGTAGGGGTTCCTGTATTATTGTTGTTGCCTCCTGGTACTGTAAAAATTGCAGCAAACATTACTGTAGTAATAAGTGTTGCAACAAGCATGCAGGATGAAGCTGTATCTTTCATCCATCTCTCCCCATTCTTGACTAATCCCTTGTGTTCCTGAGTAAATAGCATATGGGGTGTTCTACCTTCTGAGTCTTTCATTTCCTTGTATAATGGCTGCATATTCTTCTCAACTTCCTTAAATGTTAATAAGAAGAAGAGTCAAAACACATGGAATCATTTTTAATGAATTTAAACGAGGAAGAATGAAGTTCGAACGCTATTTGATAGTCACCTTAAACCACAGCAACTCACGTTGCATTTGAAGTGCTGCACCAGAGACAATTTTAAGTCTATTTGAAGGAGCCAAGTTTGCAGCCAAGTGTAACATGTTACAATTGTTGGTGTTCTTATAGGATGTGATCAAATCTTTGTGCGCTCCTATTTCATAAAGAAGTTTGAAGATTTTTTCTTGGCGATGAATAACCGCAATGTGAAAAATGCTTCGACTTTGCTCATCAACTTTCCAAATGAGATCAGGATAGGAGAGAATAAGCTCCCTGATGAACTGAAAGTTTCCAAATTCAGCGGCGATGAATAAGGGTCGTGAAGGGCTCCTGAGTAACTTCCCAATTTCTGAATCATCCAATAAGAAGAGAACCTGTTTCCACAAGAATTTTACCAACTCCAGGGCTTGGGATTGCATCAGCTTTTTCTGAATAACTCCCTGGATTCCTAGAGTTATAAGGAAACAAAAGACAAATCACTAAAATTGGTGATGATGCTTATTATGAGACTTGTAATGCATTCCATACCCGTTAGGTCCATAACACAATTGAGAAGTCTGAAGTTGCTAGTATGACCAGACTTGTTCAACAGTTTTGCACTCACACCTGAATTATAGAATACTTTATTCAATAAGGAACACAAATTTGAGTGCCTTTCAGTTTGCCATGCTTTGATAGATGATATGCCCTATGAATGATATTCTTGAATGTTGATGCAGATTATGCCTATGTTTAGCTCCCATTTTTTTCTAAAAAATTCATTTTTTCAAAACTCATTTTCAACCACTCATTCTCCTATAAAATAATGTTACACGTAAATTGCAAAGTTTTCCGTACTTTTTAACCACACAATCTCCAACAAAACACTATCAAAAAATGTATTTTTAGCCCAAAATGGTGCTCAAACCTATATAAGATACCAAGACATGGTAGGATTTGGTTTTAACAACTATTGGACTACACAAGACTCTTAATATCTGCCATTGGCCTACTAATGTGGGGGTGTTTTTTATCCCGAGGCATGTCAAAAGGACTGATGTGTTATTTCTAAGTCTGTGTCTACACATAATAGCAATTTAAAATGGGAAAGCCTATACATATCAGCTGAGGTGAGGGTTATGATCCAATTGATGTGTCAGGGATGTGAGCTTCAAACAAATATATTTAGTTTTCTTAACCCAAGACTTTCAGAAAATTAACATAGATGTAACAATTTAAATAGAAATGAAAAATCTTACAGCCGTAAACACATCTCTGCCAGATTCCTAGTTCACTTTTGCACGAAAATGCTGAAGTCTTTCGTGCTAGAACATGAAGTGCTGTCTCGCCGTCGGGCTTTTGTTCAATGGCTAGTTCTGGTTTGTGTTCAAGTATATGCAGAGCAACATCTGCAAATAGTATACAGTTAGCCTCATATATGTTGTTTTATCTAGTTTTTATATATTTCTTTGTCGATGGAATACTTTCGCACCGTATAAATCAGAGCTAATAGTTGCAATTAGTAGCCCAACATAGTCCTCTTTGGTAAGAGATTGGCCATCCGTTACTGAAGAAAGATACCAGACCATGTCTCTATATCCCAATAAAGCAGCAATATGTAGGGGTGTCACTCCTTTGCTACCTCTTATCATAGGCAAGTAACTGTTTTTTGCTACCATTAACTCTGCAATTTTTGTAATACCAGATGCAACAGCAAAGCAAAGTGCAGTATTTTCATACTTATTTTTAAGTGCCAAATCCAATGGATCCATCAATTTGACCAATTCTTCTACAAATTTTATCTGTTTTGCCCCTGCTGCAATATGCAGAACTCTTTCCCATCCGTTTGTGATCCTTGCAGTTATTGCTTGAGGATGTAGACTGAAAAATTCTTTTGCTTTTTCCCAATCACCCTTGAGTGCAGCATGGTATAGAGGCACATACATTGAAAGATTCCTGGCGGATTTAGTCCCCTCTAATATTAATGAACAAGAGACCCAAGTCAGAAAACCAATATAATTATGTTGGTTAAAGCATACAAAATGAAGGTAGAAACAGAGAAATCCAGTGGAAAATACATCAATTTCTCTATTTGACCATTGGCAATATAAACATATCAAGTAGAGAAAAATGGTGCAAAACACGAGTGTTTCCCTAAGAAAACATAAATATTACATCGATGGGGAAGCAATTAAGCTTAATTTTATCGAAATGAAACATGGCCCCTTCAGCTCGGCATGCATTTAAGGAGCTGTTTGCCTTGGCCTATCCATAGCCATAGCCATCTCAAAACTTGGCATTCCCAGCCCTCAACGGCCCATGAAACCACTAATTTAGACATAAAAATTAATGGAGAATCTTAAAGAGTTTACTTACCGGCTCCCTCGGAAAATGAAGATAGATTAGGCGGAGCTGCAATTTGAACATTGCAACAGTAGGTTAGCTGAACTGGGAAAAGAGGGTAAGAAGTGTTTCGAGTGTTGTTCAAGTCTGGTTCTTCGGCACCACCATAGGCCGGGATGGAGTTTAGTTCCCGGAAGCAGGACTGAATAGAAAGAGTTCTTTGAAGTTGAAACTTGCTCAAGTTTTCCATTACTCGCAACCAGCTCCACTACTACTTCAAGCTATGGAAAGAAATAATAGCCAAAAATTAAGAAGCTAGAATGAATTCTCCAATAATGCAAATTATGTCAATGAGATCATCTCAACCAGTTCATAGCAACTTCCTACTAGTTGAAAACACATCGACCAAGAAAATGCTCAATCTTTCACTTTATTAAAGGACGTCTGATGTAAAGTATACTTTCACTTTATTTTAAGCTTGTGTTTGGCACCATTAATTTTTTTATCAATTTTTCTCACTCTTAATTATAAGCACACATTCTCCAAATAAAATAATATTACATACAAATCTAAAATTTTTCATTACTTTTCAACCACAGATTTTTCCATCAATCACTATTCCAAAATTTATAATACACCCAAAATGGATGCCAAACACATGCTAAAAAAAAGTTCTTAATACAGGAGCATGGCGGACCCATTAAGGGGCCAGTGGGTGAGATTGTATCTACTGAACCCTTCATTTTTATATTGTAAAAAAAAAGTCCACATAATTTTAACCAATAATTTTTAATTCAAACCCAACAATGTTAGTTTAATTTGAAATTATTTTTTACGTAATTCTATCTCGCTCTACTTAATCATAATTTTGGGTCCGCCCTACTGTCAACCATAGAGATGGGCTGACAACGAGGATTGTGCATGGACGGTGCTTTCACGAGATTGGTGGCTGCTAATGATGTGTATAGTTCGGTACATTTTGACACGTCTAATCTTTGGAAAGATAAAAGGGGCACATAAAGTGTGATAACATATGCTCCAACCTTTGAAACCTCAAGTAATTAAATATAACAGTGGCATAAAGCACGAAAATTCTTTTACATCTACGTAGTATAGAAAAAAAAGGCAAGTTATGGGGTTCTTTGGTAAATAACCATAAAATCATGGGCATTTTGATAAATCAGGTTAAATGTAATTTTTATTCCAAAACGTTAACCACCGTAATTAATACTCTCATATATCCTTTTAGAGTATCCCCTTTCCATTTCCCCGATTCATGCCTCCACACTCAAAGATATGGATCCCACGACTCAACCTCACATATGTGAGATGCTTTTGTTATTTTGACCAAAATTCTATTAAATTGGTATTTTTTTCTCTTGTTACATAATCATAAAAGGACAATTATGTTGGAATTCCATCTCTCCAATATCAACATCAGCACATTCCACCTCAACATATCAGTCATCAGTTAACATTAAGCAACAACTTATCTCCAACTCATCAGCAAATCGCGTTCAGCAATACTTCTTCCTTCCGGCCTATTCTAGATCCTTCTTCTTGTAGTTAGTTTGTTAGATAGCTTTCTCTATAAATAGACCTATGTACTTCATGTTTTACTTGAACTTGATGAATAATAAATCTTCTTAATATGGTTATATCATCAAGTTCCTTTAATGTGAATTTCATATTGAATTCTGTCATTTTATTTTCTACTGGTTTCATTCATTTAGTTTCTCTGCACATATCTTTTAATTTCTTCTGCTGGTTCATGTTTCTGCTATTTGTTGCTGCTGGTTTCGTTTCATTCATTTTAATTTTAACATGGTATCAGAGCATAATGATGTTTCCGCTTCAGCTCCTGAGCCGATTAATTCCTGAACCTCCTGTTTCAGTTCCTGCGTCTGAATCTGCAGCAAGAACAGAGGTTCTCAGTCATCTTTTCTTTAGCCCGATTGTGGACAACTGTGATTCTTCTTTGAACATCCTTGAATTGAGTATCAATTCCTTTATTACTGCACTGTGTCTTTGTGCTAATTTGCGATTGAAGTTCCAGATCATGGAAGAATTTGGTTTTCACAAGCCATCCTTCAAGATGTTCGACAAAAGTCCGCACTGTCGAGAGGGTTGGAGATTGCACTGGAATTTGGCATTTCCAGTTTTCACTTCACTCATCAATGGTGATGACGTCTTCAGCACTACCCGATTTTAGAGCCATGTATGCTCACTTGTTCCGGTTGAATTTTTTTTGCTGTTTTTGGATCAGAATCTAATCTGTTTTATCTTATCTGGAATGCTTCTTTGCTGGTATGTTCCCAGCATCTTCTCCAGCTCATCTCCAGGCTTCTCTTCCATTGGCTATGCTGTATTTGTGTTTCTCTCTACAAATTCAAGATATTCCATCTTGAGAGGGGAATGTTGAAATATTCCATCTCTCTAATATCAGCATCAGCACATTCCACCTCAACATATCAGTTATCAGTTCACATTCAGCAACAACTTATCTCCAGCTCATCAGCAGATCACGTTCAGCCGCAGCTCTTCTTCCTTCCAGCCTAATCTAGATCTTTCTTCTTGTAGTTAGTTTGTTAGATAATTTTCTCTATAAATAGAG